GATGATGTTGGCTTGGTGGCAGTGAAGGTGCTGAGAAGTGCTTAAATTCTGATATATTCTAAAAGTAAAGACAACAGGGTTTGCTGTTGAATTGGAAGGGGAGAGGAAAGGAAAAGAGAAGTCAAGACTCCAAGGATTTTGCTTGATGAACTGGAAGGACGCAACAGCCATTAACCGAGATGGAGAAGACTGTGGGAGGAGCAAGCCTGGGAGAAAAGACCAGGGCTTCAGCTGAGACCAGTTACATTTAAGCTACCTATTAGACACCCAAATAGAGGTGTTGATTACAGAGAGGATGGATGAGCCTGGAGTTCAGGGGAGAGATGCTGGCTAAAGATACCTGTATCTATTTCCTTGAACCTAAGATGATTTAATGCTGGTACTTTCTTAATCTTTATCAGAAACTGTCAAGAGAAGGCTTCACATAACATAGTATAATTGCCACCTCGCTGACAGGTGCCACCTGATTTCAGAACATGGTTTCTCAACCTTGGCACTATTTTGGGTCAGACAGTTCTTTGTTGTTGGGGCTGTCTTGTGCATTATAGGATTTTAGCAGCACCGCTCGCCCCTACCCACTAGATGCCAGTAGCACCCTTCTATCACTGACAACGAAAAACGTCTCCGGATATTACTGAATATGCCCTGGGAGACAAAACAACTCCCAGTTGAGAACCATTGCTTTAGAGGGATTAACTGTGGGGGGAAAAGTGTTTTAAATAAATGAAATAGGGTATTAAAATTTGGGAGTTGGCAGTGCATAAGATCACAAAAGGAGTGGCTAGAGATAGAAAGGTAGTCTGAGGACCGTACCTTGGGACACTCCAAGGTCAAGAGACTGTAAACCTGAGAAGACTGTGAATGACAAATGAGGTAGCTCCACTCCCCCCACAAATCCCACTAAAATAAGATAAAGGATTTTGGGGGGTGTGGGTGGGTGTGTTTAAAGACAAACTCACAAGAAGACATGACAAAATTTTGGAAGCTAGAAAGCATATGGCTGAGTGGTAACCAACTCAGCAGGCCCAAGAAAAGCCGAATGCTACGCCAGCGCTGGAGAAAAGCAGAAGAGCACCCCAATTTACATTATGTAACCTCAAAAGTCTCCAGAAGCAGCAGAAATGAAGCTGGGACTAAAAGCAGGAGGATTGGTTGAAAGCATATTTAAGAAAGCATTTAACTCCCAGATTTCTTCCTTTACTTGCCCACCAGCAGTGGTCTCAGGTTCAGACTGCTAGTCACTCACAGCACCCAATAGGCCATAGCTTGGCACCAAGCGCACTTAGTTCTGCAGAAAGACAAAGACAGCATGTAGCATGAGACATGCTATCTTCAAAAGGGAGCTATACAACCCACCAGGGGTCTTTTTTGGACTCACCATTGTAAGAGAAAGAGATCATGTGGGTAAGTACAGAAATCACCTTGGCTTAGGGAAACTTCATGCTCCATAAGAATCAGCTGTGCACTATAAGAGCCACTGAGTTCCAGTGCCCCTCAAGGGATGTGTTCATGCTCACTTACAAGAGTTACACACTGCACACCAGGAAGTCAAGGTCTGAGTCTTTTCATAGGCTTCTATAGTTCACCCAGTCTTCCTGGTCCATAAGCACTCATCAATCAGAGGTCAATTTACAATAAACAACATTACCTGGAAACACTCTATATTTATTAATCAAGTTCCTACTAAAAGAATGTCAGGAAAAGGAAAACTCCACGTCATGTTCCACGCAAAAAAGGGCTCAGACTTCCTATTAACTCTTTCTTCTTAAAGCAGTAATTCTCACATGGAGGCAACTTTGCCTTCCAGGAAACATGCAGCAATGTTTGGAGACATTTCCAGTTATCACAACTGGAGGTTGCCTGTGTACTACCAGCACCTAGTGGGTAGATGCCAGGGATGCTGCTAAACATCCTACAATGCACAGGATAGCTCTCCACAACAAAAAATTCTCTGTCCCAAAATGTCGGAAGTGCTGATGGTTGAGATCTGACCTAGAAAGATTAAATGGAAGATCACATACTGAACACTGAGGATCACCACATATTCCAAGCCATCTTTCCCAAATGGGCTGCTAAAGTACTATAAGCCGAAGATATGCTCTCCACGCAGGTGACTGGAAGAACCTTCTCTGGAGAAGCTCACCCATCTGAGAGAAAAGATCTAAGAATAATCCTAGCGTAGACCATAAAAGATAGAAAAGAATTTTAAGAAGATGAAATTAATAGAACACTAATTTTGTTTGAACCAAGTAAGAGATTTAATCAACTGGGGGAAAGTTCAGAGTTGAAATAGAGATAAATATAACAAAAAAACTATATATTTTTAAATCTAAAGACAATTATTAATTCCAGGAAAAACAAAATACAATCTTCCAAAAAGGAAATGTGATAAAAGTATACAGAGTTTAGCAGTAAATTGCATGCAGGTAGTCATGATAACATAAACACTGAATAGTAACCCAACCAAAAAGACTGTGAGGTGGGGGTATAGGAGGGGAGAAGAGAACGGAGCTGTCTAAAGAGCATTATATCCTAATCTTCCAGAGTGAGAAATCAGTAAATAATACATACAACTGACAAAAATCAAGAAATAGCAATACAAGTAGAGATTTAATGACATGGAGGTTAAAACCCTAAGAATCAGCTAAGAGTAGAAAGTACTTATCTCTGGGAGCAGGAGAGAGAGAGACAGAGAGAAAGAGGGAGGAAAAGGGGGGGCGGGAAAAAGGGAGAGACAGACAGACAGTGCAACAGACTTTTCTGTAACAAGTCTCATAGAACTATTTGACTCTTTTTTTTTTAAAGATTGGCACCTGTGCTAACATCTGTTGCCAATTTTTTTTTTCTTCTTCTCCCCAAAGTCCCCCAGCACATAGTTGTATACTCTAGTTGTGAGTGCCTCTGGTTGTGCTATGTGGGACGCCACCTCAACATGACCTGATGAGCGGTGCTATGTCTGCGACCAGGATCGGAACCAGCGAGACCCTGGGCTGTCGAAGCAGAGCGCACAAACTAAACCACTTGGCCATGGGGCAGGCCCCCTAATCAATTCTTTAAACTCCATGTATGCAAAACTAATTAAACTATTTTTTTAAATTGTATTTGAGTGTAGGGACAATTTGATACATGGCTTTGGGATCTAGTAAGCCTCTTCAGTTTTCTTGATTTAAATTAGAACAGACTAGATCCAGAAAAAAGTATACTGAGGCAAGTTCCAGGTTTGCTAAACCACTTTTTTACCCATCTGGGCAAGGCAAAGGAACAGGCTAGACAGAGAAGACCTTAACTGCTTTCAATGCTTTAATCCTGGCTTACTCACCAAACCTTATACTAAAGTCTTACGTTAAACATTACACCAGGGAACACTGGTATCCTTGCCCATGGATACCACTAGACACCAGCTGAAGCGTTTGCTGGGACAGCAGTTCTCACTTTCCGCTTTATTTGCTCTTCTGTTGTTTGAACTTTTATAATGAGTGTATTTTACAAATAGAAACACACACATACAGACGAAGATCCTTAATCATTAGTTCATAACCTGTCCTCATGCATCTTGACCCAACTCAAAATAATCTGGTTGGAAAGGAGGAATACCAATATACAAAAAACAGAACAACCAGGAAAGCACATCCCTAATAAAATATTGCTCAGTCCAGTGGGTAAATCTAAAAGACATAAACGATGCATACTAAGTACCTGCTGCTAAAATATAATCCCCAGGTATCATAAGGTAGAAATCCATTTTCATGTTCTCTATAGAATACATACCATTAGGTAAGTTTCACTTTAAATAAATGAAAGTTTATTCCTTAGTTGATATAATTTGGTAACTTTCTTTACAATCAATAAAACTCAAGTTCATCTCCAAACTACCATGATTCATGCTTCTTTTATGCTCCACAGTATCTAGAACAAAGCTAGGTACATGGGAAGGTACCAGGAGTTACTGACTGATGGAAATTAATCTAATGAATTAAATCAATGGGGGGAAATCAATAATGTCTAATAGTAGGTATAAATTTTAAATTTCTCTGCAATTCCTTAAACAATGGTTTTACAAGATTTTGCCTTAGTACTGATTATTCATAAATAGATATTTTACCCTGTATCAGAGACCACTGGAAGCAAACTGAATGAAAGTCTGACTTTATTTTGCCCCCATTGATTTTCTTCCTTCTTGCTGCTACCCTAAAACAAAATTGCCTTCTCCTTGATGAAAAAAACTCAATGAAGAATTCACCTTCACCAAGCTCAGCTTTTGCTAGACTTATTTCACTACAGATACATTCCTTACCCTTACCCTATCACATCCAGAAAAGCTTCATCTTGTGAAAATCTGTTCATGTATATTATATCACTTCTGATCCTCTGAACCATCACATGAGTAAGGTAGACCAAGCACTATTAACCCCAATTTACTTAAGAGAAATTGTTCGCAGAGGTTGACTAACTCATTTAAGGTCCTATGGGTAGCAAGTGGCAAAGAAAACACTTGGAACCAAGTTTTCTGATTCCAAGCCCAGTGGCTCTTTCCACTATAGCATACTGGCTCTTCGATAATAAAATGGAGTAAACTCTAAAAACTAGAATCTTGGAGGACTACAATGTGGATATGAGTCTTTTTCTTAAGTCATTATTTTATAATAAGCATACATTAAAAAGTAATTATCAGCTTAATAACTTTGCAAAATGTCATCAAATATAAACCACATTTCACGCTTTTTAATCATGTGAAACAACTGATATTAATTCAAGGATTTCAAATAGTCACAAGAATAAAAATAAAGAAATGATAAATCTCTTCTTAATCATCTTTGTGACACTGCCATGTCTGGTAATATTTCCTTCAGTAGTCTGATTTTAAAACTTAGCTCAGAGGTATCCTTGACAAATTTGAAATGTAGGAAAAAATGAGAAAGTTAATTAAAACTACATTTTAAAAAATACTTCCTCCTTATTTTAATACTAAAATATCAGGGAAAAAAGTTCCATCTACTTACTTCAGTAATTGGCTGCCCCTGATGTGTCAAATCCAGCTCTTGAGGGCGCGCTACTTTATCGATATCCAAAGAGTCCATGCTGGAGGCTGCAGAAGTGATGCTGGAACGAGAGGAGTTACTAACAGAGCGTGCTTCAGCATCACTCACTGTGCCTGCAGATGCTGTTCGTCTGTGCTGATTGGTTACTAAGGGTTTAGCATCTTCTAGTACAGATTGCTGGGCAGCCTCATCCATGCTTAAGGAGGCCTGTTCTAGCTGTGCAGTGATGTCATCCAGGGAGTAGTTGGCATGCGATGGTTTAGTTATCCTATTAGACGAAGAAGACAGTCCTTTCAAGGTGCCATGTTTTGATGTATGTCGGCTAGGAGGTAACTTCTGAGTGGCTTTTGTTTCTGTGATTTGACGCTTACTATTTCCTGCGCCGATACTGCTGAGCTCCTGCTCTATTGAGCAAAGATCAGCCATCAGGGCATCCAGATCCACAGTTTCTCCCTGATTCAGAGCTTCTGCAATGAACAACATACATGATATTTCCAGGACACAATGAATCAGAATTTACTCATTCTAAGTCAGCTAATGAATGCAAGGGAAGAAGCAAAAAAATTCATTGTATTGGGCCTAAAATCCTATCAAATTATAGTATTTCAAACAGCTTTTTGTTTGTTTTAAATTCCAAGAGAAATTTTTAGGAACAAATAGTCTTTTAAGATTTGTAGTAATCAGAGGAGAATAAAATTCTGAGTTTTAAAAGATAAAAATAATGCAAAAATTGTATACTGTTCCATGGTTTTAATCATATTGCTCATGTAACTTTTTAGCAGAGGCTCTAAGTGTTAACATGATCAGTGCCCTGGTAGAGACGTTATACCTAAAGAGCTGATGGCATAAAAAATTACAGATTAGAATGTCAATTCCAAATACTATAAAGTTGACTATGTAGAGTACATTAAATAAAGGCCAGAGGGGATGATTTTAAAATTACCAACAAGTGATTTCACTGGACTTTTTATTCCAGTACAAATACAACAATGCAATTAAGTTTGTTGTGTGGTTCCATCTGAGTACGTACTCTCTTAATTATTAATAACTCAACTAGAAAACTATTTTAGTTATGTTCCAGTTTGTATTTTTCTGTGATCATTTGAATTAGTAATAAAATGCACAAAACAGTAAGTATAAGAACTCAGTCAAGTTATGCATATAGTTTTTATACTGAGCTGTTTGGAATTGTGTTGCATTGCTTCCACATTATATAACTTAGGATACTATTTTACATTTTATTTCCAATTTCATCTTACCATTCAAGTTGTATATGGAGAAGCGATAAGAAAAATTGGCCATGTTTGTTTCCTGGCGAAGAGGAGATCTTTTTACTGGTTCCATGGGCTTGTCAGAATCCAAACTCTTTAAAAAAGGAAGTTTAATAAGTCATACTAAATTCAGGCTTCAGTTATATAAAAAGATGAATAAAGTTTGTTTTATGATTAAGTGAATTACTGTCATATAATAGTTAATAAACCACAGTTTTTCTAACTAATAGCCTTAAGGAAAAGTATAATTGGTTTTCATATTATTTTGTTGATAGTTTTTTCAATTTGTAGGTATATGCTTACTTAAGGCACTGTCATAATTTGGAGTAAATATCTTTCCAAATACATCAAGTATAGTGACTGAGCTCATTTTACATAAATTCACTACAAAGTAAGCTAGGTATATGAATATAGGCATGGTAAGACAAGAAATAGAAAGGAACAATGCAGAGAAGTCTGTTATCTCTTTCCTCAAAGGGATTTGTTTTTGGTCCAGCAAAGCGTCATTCATGGCATGAAGTACCCTGAAGATAAGGCACAATTCTGGACTCAAAATGAGTGAGACCCAAGATCTTAACAGAGGGCGGCTACAACTTCAAACAGTGATAGAATATCCTTGTTCTTTCCAAGCTCTATCAAGATGAGGCAAACTGGACCCCAGCTATACTGCCTGTGATAAGTCTAGAATTATACTGCACTTCAGGGTGCACTGTCTTGTCTTGTAAGTTATCTCACCACCTTTTTAAATGAGGCTTTTTTCTCTCTAACCTTTCTACAATAGGGAAAATAAGATGTTTCAAACAGAGAAATTCAGGAAAAGGGTCAACAGTTATTCAGTGTCTATTTAAATAAATTTCCAAATACTAGGATTAGTCTCTTGAAACTTTAATTTCTATTTATAATAATCAAATAGATTTCACATAAAAAAGAATGCTGGATAGCTTATTTGTAGAATCTTGGAATTAGAGTAGAATGCTATCTTCTTTATTCACTTGTCTCAAGATAAAATGAATCCATTCAGACAGTATCCATCCAATTGTTAAGGCTATCATACGAAGGAGATCCACCACCATTCAGGGCCTTATTTCAAAGTTTCACAAAACAGCTAGGAAATTCTTCTTTAACCTCAAACTGAATTCTTCTGTTGTAATTTAAGCCCTAATGCTCCTTCTCTCAGTGGAAATGAAGAATAATAGGTAGATAATGTTTTCTGTAAAATAAGGAATATAACTGAGGACATGTTAAAAGTCAGTCTATTTACCAGTTCAAATAAACAAATACTTATTATAATTATCTGCTGTGTCCATGGCATTGGGGCAACAAGGGAAATAGTAAGAAATACTCCTCGATGCCAAGAAACTGCTAATCTAGTAGGGTGGTTTTTAACTTTTTTGGGGTAAGGGGGTAGCGTCATTGAGAATTTAACAAAGGCTATTAGCTTTCTTCCAGAAAAATGCAAATACACACAAAATTTTACAAACGCTTTCAGAAGATTCACCAACCACTTAAAACTGATGTAAAGTTGAAAATCTCATTAACATTGTACGTGTGATATAGGTGCACTAATGATACTTTGTAGTAAACTAACATAATGAAATAAACAAGAAACTTGAGGATTCAGCCACTAACTTAGTAAGTAAAATATTTTTTGAAAATTTCTGAAGTGTTAAAAAGCAACTTGTTAGCAGTGAGCCGTGTTACACAAGAGTTTTAATCTGCTTTCTCTCTCAAGGCAGATTTATATAATAAAAAGAACAGTCACAGCATTAGTTTAGAAGCCAACTTTTTTGGTGAGTGGCTCTTTATATGTCAGGGAATTTAAAAATATAGAGACGAATACAGGTGCCAAACTAGCAGAAATGGCACCTGCAGCGGAGCAGCACAGAGTCACTCCTCAACCTGGAGCAGCTGGATTGATACCCACTTGTCTTTTCTCTTTCTGGCCCCGTGCCCAAGTATGGACAATAAAACCACACAGTCGCGGAAACCCTCCTTGCCAGCTGGCCCTCACATACTTCCCTCCGTGCATTATCATTTCTATTTCCTCTATTTTGCTGCTTCTTTCCTTTTTCTTCTCAGCATGGAACTGCAGAGCCTCAGCACCATCTCTATGCCAAAATCACCTTTTTAAAAAATTTAAGAATTAAACTGAAATGGTTTGGCATTGGCAACTACAGATATAAGAAAAGACCTTTCTCACAACAAATGTTATTTCTCCTGAATGAAGATGAAAGAAATGATTCTTACAAAATTCTAGAAGGATTGAACGCATTTTCCTCAAAATTCAGCATTAACGATTATAGTCAACCATGTCTGCTTTTCAAAAGGATCTAGCAAGAATAACAGGAGGAGTTTATCATGTCAATTCCAGGCTGCCATAGAAAGAGAGAGAGGAACAAACTAGTACTTTAAGTTCCCACCTTACACCTACTTTTCCACTAGTTAAGCAATTTTACACAAAAGTTCTTCCCAGAGATATTATTAAAGGATGAATGAAAATAAGTTCTGTTCTAATATTCTCATTGGCATAAAGTTAAAATTGCTTTAATAAACATAACCATCTTCATATACTGAATATAATGTATTAACTGGGTAGTAATAGTTTACCCTTTTATTCTAAGAAGTATTCTGGTTTAGAGGATAGGGGCATTCTTTTTATTTATTTTTTAAACCCAAGATCCAATAAAACAAAATGAAAAAGCTTTGCCATTGTTTTAAAATGCAGCAGGGAATAAAACTTTGTCAGTATTCTGGAATCATGTAATAGAAAATACTTGCATGGGAAGATATTATCTATGTCATAAAATGTATTCATATTTACTAAGTTATGGAATAGGATTTGCTAAAATTTAGACTTTTAAATTCCAGGCTTCAAAACTTTTTAGCCAGCAATTTCAATTTATGAAACTGATTTTAAGTAATTCCTCTAGATGAAGTGAAATTTTGTCACAAGCTTTTTTTAAAAAACTCCTTAAAACAGCTACAGAAGATAATGTCTTGTGTTCTAGAGTTACTAGTCATTTACCTGTTAATGTTTTGGACATTTTCCCTTTCTAGCAGTACTTTAAAATGTAACCTACATCCATATCCTTATGTCTACACAGTAAACTTTCAGCACACAGTAATGACTTCAAATCCTCAAGCAGTTTTTCAAGCACTACTTCTAACCTGAGTGAGCTTGTCCAGCTCCCCCAGCCAGGCTCCAAACATTTTGTCCAGGTCCTGATCTTCCTTGTCACTGTCTTCTTCAGCTCCATGGTCAATTTCTTCATCTGATAGCTGCTCCATCTGAAACACAGACATTTGTGTAGAATGGTTACAAGTTGAACTTGAAAAATTATGCAGTGTATGTTCTGATGTATATAGCAACTCTCCAGAGTCAAATTTTCAAAACTAGAGACTATATTATAAAAGGAAATTAGAAATCATTAATGGAGACAGGGTTGACAAGTGAGTAGAAATGAGCAATTAAATCTCAAATTTTTAGGAAATTGTGAAAGAAGAACAAACTGTATCAGATTGTGACCAGAAAGTAACAATTTTAAAATTGCAGAGCACTCCCATTAATCAGAGGATATTACAGTAGCACACTCCACTTCTCTCCACTAATAGATCCTGTAACACCCCAAACACCACAGAGAAACCATTTCAGAAGACTTTGATGCAGCAAGCTATTATATTTATTCTGTGAAAACCTGCTTAGATACAAATAAGTATGTATCTTGCAAAACCTTAGTCCAACAAGCATTTCAGAGAAAAGACAACAAAATTTCTAATTTAGGTTAGTCTGTTGAATTAGTTCCTCCTTCTATACTGTTTTCACTTTCTACCCCATCTGTCTTTTATCTTACTTCCCCATCACTTCCTACGAAATCCAAGGAACTAGAACCAAAACTCAAAACTTTAAATTCATATACAAAATTTCCCATAGTGGTGACTTTTCAAGTATAAGTCCCTTGAAAGAAAAAACATTTTCCTACTTCCCAATTAATAAAATAATGTGATATGGGACATGAAACTTGCATATTATTTTGTGAAGAGAGGAAAAGATTATACAAAACAAAGTAAGATAAATGACTGACCAGATACTTAAAGTTCTTAAAGTAAGATTAATCTGATTAATATAAAATATTTCAATACTAAAAGCTCTGAGGAATCTTCAGTAAAACTTAGACTTGCTTAAACCAACATATTCCAAATTTATTTGACCACGAATCCTTTTCCCTCAACTTGGAGTAATACCTAACTTTCCCAAGGACACAATGAATATCACCACTGTACATTCCATACTCTTGACTTACATTTCTGAAATACAAATTTTGTTCCAGTGATCTAGGCAATATTTGGAATACATCCTTTCAGTTGGCTTAAACAATTCCTCAGAGATTAAAGAGATATCCTTAATCTCGAATAAGAATTTGTACACATCTTACAACAAAATTACCTCTGTGATCTTTAAATGTGATTATGAGATATGTAAGGAATCTACTTATCTGATGAAGTGTCATGAAGTTAAATTTTAAGCCTTATTTTACTATATAAAATTTTGCAGGAAGGGTAAATAATGTTGCAAAATCAAACTGAACTTAGTTTTTTTGTGCATGTGTGTTCAAGGAAGATCCTTGCTGAGCTAACATCTGTGCCAATCTCCCTCCATTTTATGTGAGACGCCATCACAGCATGGCTTGATGAGTGGTGCTAGGTCCGCATCCAGGATCCAAACCTGCAAATCCCAGGCCACCAAAGCGGAGCTCGCGAACTTAACCATTATACCTCAGGGTTGGTCCCTGAAGTTAAGTTTTAATGATGCTGAAAATCAGATCATATCCCATTTTAAGCACTTAAGGGAAATAATTTTCTTAAGTTTACTACTATAAAGGATCACAGATTATCAATATCTCTAACAGAAACTGATAATTCCCATTTCTTAATTTTACTACTTTAAGGATGTATAAATAAGGGCATTCTACCTTGACAAATGAAAAATGGATCAACTAATTCTCCAATTCATAAATCTGACTCTTAAAAAGATTTGGCTTTTATAATTCACTTGTGTTAATACTATTTCTAAGATTTTTATTCATTATTGAATTATTTACAGATCAATCTCAATAGAAACCTGATATACTTCATTAAGTTATCTACCCATGAAAAACACAAAATGTTAGTGCAAATAAAAACTTCACCTGACCAGGTGACAACGACTCAAATAACTGTTGGTAGTTTGAGAACATCTGGAAGTAGTAATACCCAGTCTTCATAATGAGGGTCAACAAGAAAAAGAAACAGGAACATAATAGTCAACTTCCTCTTCCTCCCTAATCTTCAAAACTAAACACACTGGAATAATCCAGAAGCTGAAATATTCTAGGAGGAATTTTACTGTGAGATAATGATACTTATGTCTACACGTCCCTTCTGAGCACATACTGTAAATGCCCATAAGAAAAAGGACAAACTGGAAAAATGAAACAATAGGAATATAATTTTACAGAGCAAACACAAAATGGTTCAAAATGAAGGAGTATTTTAAATTTTCACAAAGCCAACTAGAACTATAGACTCCACATCAAAGTCTGATGTGTTTTGTGAGCTTTTTCCTATTATTCAAACCCAATCATTATTCGGATTTTAAAAATGCCTTTAAATATTTTCATTAATAGTCCTGTTTTTATCTAGACAACTACAGACTCAAGTAGAGGTAAATATGGCTAGGGAACAATGAGAGAGAGTCAAAAAATAAATGGAAATTTTGTAGTAACTATTTGACATTTACCATTTATGTAACTTTTGCCAATTCTGTCCTTTCTTGAATTTCTGTCACCACATGGATTATTTTATAAAAATTAAAACACTTCTTCAGATACTTTTCCAATAAAAATTTAGGTCCTATAACATTTCTTAAAGTATCTACACTCTAAAACAGCACTCTCCATTCTCGAGAAGCTGATGTCAATCCTTATTCTCCTACCCCCAATAGGGCATCACTTGTTCACTACTGACACCAAGTGAGCAGCCCCCTTTTCTTATAGTCTCTGCACTGTCTAAAGTCAGCAAATCTAGTAAGGAATTTCACTCTTTGTTATATATCAATGCCCCTACTAGAAATGATGACAGCATAAAATGCAAATAAAATAATCCAATAGTCAGTCAATTGACTCTCCAATCAAAGGAAAGTAAAATTAAGGAAAAGAAAATAGAACTTGTAAATCTTGTTTTTAAAATAATTCGGATTTAAATGGATTGTTTCTACTGCAATGTTTCTCCTTAATTACGTGGAAATAGGCCCAAGGAAACTATAATACATACGAGAACAAATACTATGAAATTATTCTGTGACTATGAGATTAGGTTGGGGGGAATATATTAAAGTTTCACTTAAATTCCCTGCTCCACTACATCTGAGGGACACTATGTCCTGAAAGAATAAATGTACACTGCCATAAGGAAAAGGTTACTCCTCAAAGTGCAGACTTATTGAATATAGAATAAAATCCAGCTGGAGAGGCCTTGAGTGATCCTGGCCTGCAGGGCCCTCTCTGGCCTCTCTTACCCTCCCCTCCAGTGACACGGTCCTGCCTGCTGTTCCTTGGAGCAGGTTGGGGGCCTGGAGGGTGTGGAATCTGTTTTGAAGATAGACTGAGAAATGCCAGCAAACATCCAACTGGAAAAAAATGAGGAAAAGTTGACTCAGCTAATGAGGAGGTCTCGTCAGCCTGAATATTGTTTCAAAATTATGTGCTTATTACAGAATAATCATAGATTACAGCTAATTATGATTTAACTAATATTTTAAACTAATTTATTTTATTAATGAAGTAAAAAAAGAAATAATGGGGGAATGATCTACCATTGCTTATATGCTGGTGGGTTTCATTTCACAGATAACAGTGAATAATTGTGCTTCAATTATTACAGGTTAAAACTTGTAATATATATAAGTAAGCTCCACTACACATAACGAAACTATTCATTTAGTATGAAACAATATTATTCCCACTAAATTTTCCATGAAGTTAATTATTCAACCATATTTTCCCTATTAACTTTCCTCTTGGGAGATATTTTGTTTTACTATTCAATTTCCTCACTGTGAGATGAAATGGTGATCTTTATCAAGAAGGCTGGGCTTAGATAAGGGCTTAAGAATTTGAATAAATGTATTCCAGGTAGGGCAAATTACAAAGAGCAAAGGAGAAAGTCTGTGTTTGTGAGCTGTCATGAGATGGACTCAAATAAAACAAGAGAGAAGAGTGCGACTCAAAAGTCAAAGACTAAGGCAGGACCCGGTCATATAGGATCTTGGAAGCCAAGCTTGTTTTTTTTTCCAGGAGGCAACTGGATTCTTAAACATAGATGTGAAGGGGGAGGGGGAGAAACAGTATTACACAGAGGACACGCTGCCTGTGTAACGATTATTAGAGAAGGGAAAGACCATTAGAAAGCTACTGTAGATATTAGGTAGAGATAATCATAGACATGGAAACTGAAGTCCTGAAAGGAGATACAATTTACACAAGTCACACACTCAGAGAGAGGCAAGAAAAATACATGGTACATAGCCAGGTTGCCTTGTTTAGTACTGAACTCCTTTTGTGCCTTTATAATAACTTAAAAAGAACTGCTTTTTGTAAAAATGAGTACTCTATACTCAACCCACGTGAGAACCTTCAGGACGCAGGAGTGTGGAGCTGCCTAGGTTTAGCAGGCTCACCGTTCCAGAGGCAAGAGACGCTCAGACTTTATTTAATATTTACTGTATATCTACTGTATGCCAGACACGGAGGAGCAGAGATGTACATGATAGCCTTTGTCCTTAAGGAAAATATGACATGGGAGGGGACAGACATGAAAATCAACAATGACGAAACCCTGTGCTCAGGGCTAGAACACCAGGAATGTCATGTGAGTGCAGTTTTAACTCGGTTTGAGGAGAGAGGAAAGTGGTGATGCTTCAGTTAAGAAGGGGAAGCGTGTTTTAGACACAGGGATCAGCATGTGCAAGGGTATAAAGGTGTGAGGAAGTAAGACATGTTGAGAACTCTAAGTGGCTTAACACTTCTGAAGCATAGGATGTGCAGTGTAGACCCACGGAAAATGGGACTGGAGAGGGGGTAAGGACAAAATTATAAGCCATACCAAAGAGTTTGGACTTGATGCTGTACAGTAATGTTTTTCCAATGGTCAGCTGATGACCTGCATCAAAGTGACCTGGGGTGCTTCTTTTTTTTTTTTTTTTTAAAGATTTTTTTTATTTTTTCCTTTTTCTCCCCAAAGCCCCCCAGTAC